TTTCTACTCCCGTAAAGATTTACACCCTCGGAAACCCTGTACAGGGTCGCTATGGGTCGGACCCGACTCGATGGCACTTAACAACAACAACAACAACAATGTCCTCAAGGTTTATCCAAGTCATGTGGTGGCTTGCAGCTTCCTTTTATTCTTCAAGTTAGCATAATATTCCATTGTGTGTATGCACCAAAGTTTGTTTATCCATTCTTCCATTGATGAGCACTTAGGCTGTCTCTATGTTTTTGCTATTGTGAATAGCGCTGCTATGAACATTGGTGTGCATATATCTACTCGTGTTATGGCTTGTATTTCTTGTGGGTAAATACCAAGTAGAAGAATTGCTAGATTATAAGGTATTTCTATTTTCAACTTTCTGAGAAAGTGCCATACTGTTTTCCAGAATAGTTGGACCATTTTTAATTCTCACCAGCAATGTAAGAGGGTCCTAGTCTCTCCATATCCTTGCCTATGCTAGGGTCTTTGATTGGTATACTCAATTACAAAGCTACTCATTTTTCATAAATTTATTTATAATTCCAACACACCTCTAATCAAAACTCTAACAGGTTGCTGAATATTTTTATTCCTTGGGACTTGACAAATAGATTCTAATCTATATATGGAAATGCAAAGATCCAAGAATAGAAAGACACTGTGGAATAAAAGGTCAAAGTGGGAGGATATATTCTATCAGAAATCAACTTATAAATTTAGAGGAATTCTTGACAAATACATTAATGGAACTAAATTTAGAGCCCTCTAACAGGCCTGGATGTAGTCCTGGTATGGCGCTGTGGGTTAACGCGCCAGACTTCAAAGCCCTTTGAACTGCAAGGTCGGCGGCTCAAGCTCACCAGCTGCTCCTCGGAAACCCGATACAGGGTCGCTATGGGTCAGATTCAACTCGAGGGCACCTAACAACAACAACAACAACAGGCCTGGATATATGGGTGTATGATTTACGGCAAAGATGGCACTATAGAGCAGTGGGGGTAAGAAGGTCTCTTCTGTACATAAAAAACGGAAACTTGTTATCTACCTCACACCACACACACTTGTTATTCTATGAGATTGATACTTGTAGACTCAAACGTGAAAGGCAAAAATCAGAAAGCTTCCAGAAGATGATATATGAAAATATCTTCATAATTGTGGGTTGGAAAAAGATTTCTCACTCAGGACAAAGCCTAAATTGTACTAGATTAAAATTAAGAACAAAGGAAGCCCTGCTGGTGCTGTTGGTTTGACATTGGGCTGCTAACTGCAAGGTCATCAGTCACTGCTCGGGACAATTATGAGGCTGTCTACTCGTACATGGAGCCCTGGTGTGGCACTGTGGGTTAATGCGCTGGACTGCAAGGTTGGTTTGAACTGCAAGGTCAGCAGTTCAAGCTTACCGGTAACTATTCAGAAACCCTATGATTGGTTAATTATTCTGAGGAGTACATTCCTCATCAGTGTTTTTGTTTACTTTATAGGACTTTTTGTTGCTTTGCTGCAAGGTGATCCCTAGGAGTGGGTTCAGTTCCAGACTTGAAGGGTGACAAAAGGGTTCTACCAATCTCTATAAGACCAGTAAGTCTTATCTTTTTAATTTTGAATTTTGTTCTACATTTTTCTCCTGTTCTGTCTTCTATGGTTTAAGTAGAACAGTCAGTATGGTAGCTGGGCACTATCTAGTTCTTCTGATCTCAGGATAGTGGAGGTTGTAGTTCATGGATTCCATTAGTCCTTTGGACTAATTTTTTCCTTAAGCCTTTGATTTTCTTCATTCTTCTTTGCTCTGAATGAGAAGAGATCATCAGTCGTGTCTTAGATGGCCACTCACTAGCCTTTAAGACTCCAGCTGATCCTCATCATAACAGGATGTAGAACAATGTCTTTGTGAACTATGTTATGCCAATTGAATTAGCTGTTCCTTGAATCTGTGGTCCTAAGCCCCTAAGCCCAGTGACTGATTCCCTCAAGGTGTTTGGTTACAAGAAGCCATATTTTTAAGATTAGGTCTACCTGATAGATATTCACAGTAAGTAAATTAAGAAAAAATAAGTACTTACAGAAGAAGATTGGCACATAATAAAAAGGAAAATAACAGCTTGTCCTTCTCAAATAGTGACCGGCATATATTACAATATAAGTTGTATGTGAAGTGGTCATTTAAATATCGTAGGCGCTTTTCCAAAATTTTGGATTTGTTACTAAAAGGTTAAAAAAAAAAAGTACATGGAGCCAAAACCAAACCAAGTAACACTTAAGAATTAAAATATACACTGTTCGTACTGTATCCAGTATTTAAAATATACTGTGTGTGAAATGCACACACAGAGAGAGATTTACACACACACAAATGACAACAAATAAAACTGGTGAGATCTTGATGAGTTCTATGGATTGTACCAATGTCAATTTCCAGCTTGTGATATTGTACTGTAGTTATGCAATGTTACCACTGGAAAAATTATATGGGCTTCAATATACATTTTTTTTTTAATGTTTCTTGTGAATCTGTAAGTATTTCAAGTTTTTTAAACAATGCTTTAAATAGGACATAATTCTAGGAGAAAGTTTATGCCATCTGTTTTCAAAATTTTACATTTCTTATCCTATCTCAAAATGAATGAAAACAATTAATACACAGTGAAGCTCTGGCATATGGGTGTAGCAGTGTAGGATAAGCACTGGACTGCTAATGACAATTCAAATCCACCAGCCACTTTTCAGAAGCCCTATAGAGTGTCGCTATGAGTCAGAACTGACTTACTAGTACTTAACACTGAAGATCTATTAATGTGAGGTTGTATACTAGAGAGGAAAATGTAAAAGACAAAAATGTATAAAACATTTCATTAAAAGTAAAAAATATATAGACAAATGTAGTTGTTTCAAGGTAGAGTTATGATTGATATTTAATTTCTTCTTTTTTAAAAAAACTTTAATTGTGAATTGGGTGAAGGTTTATCAGTTTTATATCTGACAATTCATATACACTTATTCTGTGACACAAACTTATATCACAGAATATTCTTCAGCAATTAAAAAAAAAAAACAAGTAATGACCCAGATGAATCTTCAGAGAATTATTATACTGTAAAAAAAAAAAAAAAAAAAGCCAATCCAAAAGAGTGATATACTATAAAATTCCATTTATACAATATTCTGAAAGTGATAAAATTACAGACATGGAGAGAAGATTTGTGCCTGACAGGAGTTAAGGAGGGGATGGAGGTGATAGGCATAGGGAAATAGATAAAATGAATCTTGTATTTATGGCACTGTTCTGTATCTTGTTTTATTTTTAACTTCTGTTCCTGCAGTTCTTTTTCTCATTCTATCAGGGTCCATTACAGTGGCCCTTGTCAGAATTGTCGGTAGTGGTAGCCAGGCACCATTTCATTCTTCTGGTCTTAGGGTGGATGAGGTTGTGGCTCATGTAGGCTACTTATCCTGTAGAATGGTTTTTGTCTGAGACTTTGGTGTCTTTCTTTATCTTTTGCTCCTGACAGGTAGTGATCAATAGTTGTGTTTTACATGCCTGCTTGTGAGCTTTTAAGACCTAAATGTTACTCACCTCAGTAGGATGCAGGACATGAATTTCGTGATCTATATTATACCAATAGACTGAGTTATCCCATGATACTAACTTCCTAAGCCTTCAAATTCAGAAAACCCATCTTGCAAGATATTTGGTTTTCTCTGAGAAGTATCTATAACTTTGTCTTCTATGAATATATATGTGTGCATATACATATCTGCATGCACATGTTACTACACATATAGATATTTCTGTCTGTGCACACATATGTTCACACCTGTACCTACTCATACACACATATGCCTATACACATACATAGGTGACCGTATACTTATTTTTGGTTATTGTCGGTGGCACTGTGTTATAGCTTGACTGTCAATATCCTGGTTGTGTTGTTGTACTATAGTTTTACATTGTGGGAAACTGGTTAAAGGGCATACAGAATCTCCCTGTATTCTTTCTTATAAGTGCATATGAATCTATAATTATCATTATCTCAAATTTTTAAATTAATTTAAAAAATGTAATACTTGGGTTTATGGGAATGGTATGAAAAAGTTGGGGATGGTGACATTTTGTATAGGATTTACTTTTGGAATATTCATGTTTTTTTACATTAAAAATACAGTAAAATTAAAATCAGCAAGGAAGAGAAGAAAACAATAAAATGAAATAGAAAAACATATTAAAGCTAAGTATATTTCATATGAAAACCATCATCACACTGAAGGGGAGAGAAATGAACCCACGTACTTTTTGAATACACTACTTTTTGTATAAAACTAAAAGAACTGTAGGTTTTTGTATGGAGATGTGTTTAATTCTTGGGACTATTTCTGAAGTGGAATTGTGTGGTGTTGTAGAATAAGCATTCAACTTTAAGGTCGATATTGCAAACTCATCAGCTGGTCCTCAGAAACCCTATACAGGGTCACTATGTGTTGGAATCAACTCTACAGCACTTAACAATGACATGGTGAATCTATGTTTATCATTTGAGAAACTGCAAAAATGTTTTTCAAAAGGGGCTCTATTATTTTTAAATCCCAGTAACAATGTAATGGAGTCCTAGTGTGGCACTGTGAGTTAATGCACTAGACAGCAAAGTTGGTTTTAACTGCAAGGGCAGTGGTTCAATCACACCAGCTGCTACTTGTAAACCCTATACAGTGTGGCTATGGGTCAGAACCAACTCAAAGGCACTTAACAACAACGTTAATAGTGTTCTCATTTTTTCAAATCTTTACCAATACTTGTTATTGGCTCTCTTTTTTTTAAGCCAACCTTCTGTATATGAAATATCTCATTATGGCTCTAGTGGTGTTTTTTTTGTTTTGTTTTGCTATGGTTTGTTTGGATTTTATTCTACATGAGATTTTTGTTGTTGTTGTTAAGCGTTGTCAAGTTGGTGTTGACTCAGAGACGCTGTATAGAGTTTCCGAGGAACGTATGTTACTTTGAACCACCGACAACAACTTTGCCATTCAAACCAACCATGCAGTCCAGTGCATCCTACAGTATCACACCAGGACTCCTGGAGGGTTCTACTACTCATGCACACAGATCTTCTTGAAATTTAAAGTGACAGTTTCCACTTAAACTCAAACGGCAGTGCAAAACGGCCATAGCTGGCCCTGAACTATTTATCACTAGGAAAAAGACCAGAACAGGGATTGTGGAGTGGGACAGGCAGACTGAAAAGGAAATAGGCTGAAAATAAAAATGTTGTTGTTGTTGTCAGGTGCCATCGAGTCGGAACCGACTCATAGCGACCCCATGCACAGCAGAACGAAACAATGTTCGATCCTGGGCC